GCTTCCCGCTTGCACAGTTGGTTACCTGGCCACCCATTCTGTGATGGATTTTACCCTCATGCAGATAATGAGTCTCAGTGATGACATGCAAGTGGGATTGTTTTTGTCTGGCCAGATTGTGCAGTTCCACTTTCCACAGTAATGCACACCCTATTGCACTGAGCCCGCTCTCCAGTCACGAAGCTGGAAGATTTGCCCACTGTGCTGGTTCTGCAGCTCCCTTGGCTCTCAGTGTGTCTCCTCCCATGAGGTTGGCGGAGAAAGTATTTGGTGACATTCTGCAAAGCCACATCATCATGACAAAATCTTGAGACATGGACAGATAGACATAAGGCATGTGGAGGAGCTCCAGATGGACCTGCAGTTGGCAGCCTTGACATTCTGGAGGAAGTTCCATGCACCTGAGGACGCAAGTCATCTGGACAGGCGGTCGAGGAGGTCTTGGGTGGTCCAAGGGCACCATGAGATGGCAGTGAAGAGCTGCTGGCTCTGAGCAGCGGCTGGTGTGGAAGTCAAGCACCAGGCCCTTCCGGGCACTGTGGAAGCAGGAAGCAGCCGTGACTCTGAGCAGAGGTTGCCTGTTCTTAATAAGGAAAACGTCTTGTTTGCTTAGAACAAAACCCACGGGAAAAGTACTTACTGGGAGCTCTGCATTTCTGGGCTGAGCTCTGAACTATATGGCAACAGCACCAGCACCAGCTCCGCTGAGCTCCACTCGGCTTGGCCAGCTCAGAACTTTGACCCCATCTGTGTGCAGCCACCCCTGGGAGGAGCCGCCATCACTAGGTTCTCACACCTGCGTGGTAGATGAGGGTGACACAGTGACCTGCAGGGAGATGAACACTGCACAGATGCAGAGAAGGGGTGTCACTTGAACCCCTCTTCGGGAGCCATTCTACTTGGAGCTCATGTGTGAAAGTGACCTATGACATCTTATTCCAGTTGTGAAGCCAGAAGTAATCTTTTGTTAATTTATCCAGTCCACACTTAACGTTAATTTATCGCACAGTTCAGCTGTGCTCTCTTCTGGGATGACTGGTCCATTATTTGAGACAAGGTCTGCATGCTTTGTGCTTTCCTGTTCTCAAATCAACCCTCAACTTTACCTTGAACTTTGCCCGACAGGAGCTGATTGTTCACCCATCTTTAGGCAGATACTTCCAAGGGTTGTTCATTACAGGGTTTTAAAGAAGAGCACGCAAAGCTGAGAAAGGAAAGTGTTTGCCGTTCCCTCTGCATGTGACAGGCCTGCATCTTTCATCTCCAGTTAGATAATAAAGCAGTGTCTTGACAGAAGTGAAGGTAAGCACCAAAGTATAACATGTTTTAAGTGACATTTCAACAGTTACCAGATGAATGCTGAGAAAACTTTAGAAGTAACTCCACAAAGAAAATCACCTTCCAGAGATGGTCATTGTTGACAGTTTGAAATAAGAGTTTTAAATGTCAGGTGTCCTTTGAGGACAACCAAACCTTGTACGCCGCAGTCTTGAAAGCCGCTCAGATACTCCTTCCAAGTACACCCACACGATGAAGCCCTCCATGCACACTCACTGGACGGTTTCACACATACACCCTGCCACCAGCAGAAACAGCTCAGTAAATCAACTGCTGTTCATACCTCTCAATTTCACATACTGTAATTTTGGAAATTGAAGAATTCCTCACCTCTGCTGCATCACACACCTGTAATCCCGGCCACCCAGGAGGCTGAGGCATGAAGATCAGATCCAAGCCAGTGTGGGCAACTTAGACCCTGTCTCTAAGATGATAAAAGGGTCTGGGGAAAGAGTTCAGTCATAGAGTGCTTGCCTGGCAAGTGTAAGGCCCTGGATTCGGTCTCTGGTGCCTTTAAAAAAAAAAAAAAAAAAAGAAATGAAGTCAGTTATTCTTGATGATACAATAGATAGTTGAGCATTGTCTTTGTGTATAGTAGGTATATCCTCCATGTGTATGTCCAAAAGAATTTGTAGTTGGGACTCCTATAACTCAGAACAGAATCTACTCTTTCTGGTTGCTGGTATTTTGGATGTAGGGGATCTGTTTTTACAAACTCTTTAACTGTTCATATCATTTAAGGCTAAACATATTCTCTGGCTCCTTTTTGGGGACTGCTGCATTTTACCCATGCATTCAAATATGCATTATCAATGAAAGGGATTCTCTAAGGTAATGGAATGCTGGACCAGATGCCCTTTATATTATCACAGGCCAGGCCTGGTGGCACACACCCATAATCTCAGCCCTCAGGAGGCTGAGGGAGAAGGACCACAAGTTGGAGGCCAACCTGGACTGCATAGTGAATTCAAGACCACCCTAAACTACATAGATCCTATCTCAAAAAGAAAAAAAATGTCCTTTTGTTCTCACAGAGCCAAGAGTGGCAGACTGAACTACACTGTGCTGTCTTGTCACTTATGGAGAGTCCCTGCTGATCACAGTGCTGGTTTTCTTGCGGTGATTTCAGTTGCTTCCTCTGAAAGTACTCCAGAGACAAGGCCAAAGGGGCCTGGAGCCTGCAGGTGCACGGTGCACAACCCCATGTTTAGGGAAAATGCATGTTTGTTGCCCCTTGCTTGACAAAACAGCTCAACATGGATTTTTGTTTTGTTGTCCCAGCCACTCCCAGGGATTATCTCATGTAGGATCTACAGTCTGTGTAACTTGAAGTAGGTATGGTTTATAAGGTTTGCTGTAGCTATTTTCCTAAATATGTAGTGGCACTTTGTATCTATTCACTGAATTTTGCACTGATAACTGTTGGTGAAATAGAAACTAGTTACAATAATAGTACCAAATAATGACTTTAACCTCCATTGAATCAGTAGTAGTTTATTCCAAATGAGCAGTCTGTTCTAATGGGGAGTTTCCTCCTTTGATGAGATTTAGTAAGGGGCTGTCTATTGAGAGAAGCATCTCTATTATGAAGTCCCTGTTTACCACATGGGCCGTGGCCTGCTGGCTAACCCTAGCAAGATCCTAGGAGTGTATGTCCCAGCACTTCCCAGGGTAAGGCCAGTTCCTAGTGTGTCACCTCTTGCTACCTAAAAATGGACAGATCTTGAAGCAGCTCTTGTCCATTAGAGCTGGCTGTGGAATGCACATCTTCAAGGGAGGTACTGTGTAAAACCCTGGAGACACAGGCCTGGAGTGACAGTCTAATTTTCATAACTGAGTTCACAACATCATGACTGTTTCACACTGAGTGATTCCATTTATAGAACAGAGATATTAGGAGCTGCATGACTTCTGACTGAATTATAATTGCACAAATCGTGCATTCTGGATTATTAAGGCCAAAGAGGATTTGGGAGCACAAATCCTAAACAGCGTATCTTTGGAAACACCCCTTCTCAACACAGGAGTCCTCTACAGGACAGGGACTAACAGTGAGCAGTCAGAATTTTGTGTCATACTAAGATTGTTTAGCATATTTTAAATGTGTAACAGTAAATTCTGATCAGCTGGTTGTTAATAATTCGTATAATAGGCCTGGGATTTAGCTCAGTGGTGCCGCTGCCTGCCTCACAAGTGCAAGAACCTGAGTTCAATCCCTGGTACAATAAATAATAATAATTCCATATAGTAACATCATCTAGGTTTTTTATGTCAGTGTTTGCTCTTCTTTTAAATGTATTTTGTAGAGAATTCCAGACAAAAGTTCTGTTCTTGTAAATATTGCCAGTTCATCTGAAGAACCCAGATAAGTGGAATCCTACCAGCAGGCAAGGTCCTTGCAGATCTCTGAATTTGTCAATGTGAAAATATAGACGTCCTGTCATCCACCCTGTTGCACTGGAGGGCTCAGGAGGCCAGTACCACACCCTCCCAGGGATGGACAGGATGTGGCCTATTTCCCCAGAAGCTGCTCTGCACTAATCCACCTGCACGCTCAGGTGTTTCAAGCAAATAACCAAGTTTTGGCTTTTTAAACTGGTCTCTGTAGGTGACTGCACTTAACTCCAACAATGTGGTATGAGAGCCTTGCTCTGAAGCCAGTGGGGGGTGGGGGGATCCCTGGTGTGGCATTCTTGCACCTGGAGGTTCAGATTGAGTCACTTCTGTTTAGCATTTTGTGTGATTTAATAATCATGGCTAGAAATAAGTTTTATTGGAAGTGTGAGGTAAATTTCTATCTTCAGTTTTTAAATAATACTTAAATTTCTCATAAACTTGTAAAAACATCTGCAAAATTTAGAACTTAATAATTACTGACTTTCCACAGGGGGGTAAACATTAAAAATAAAACTTTGAGAATTAAAAAAATAAAGAAATTTCTTTATTATAAAATGTGTGATGATATAACTTATGTGTAGCCTCCTTAAAATCAGGCTGAAAATTCAGGACTTCTGTATTCAAAAGCAACTATTGTTTTAAGGAGGGAAATAAAGGTATTATTGTGACAATTCTAGAAACAAAAATAAAATTTATTGGGGCCAGGGATTTAGCTCAATGGTGCCACACCTGCCTCACAAGCACAAGGTCCTGAGTTTGATCCCCGATACCGCCAATAAATAAAATTCATTAATGAAAAAAATCCAAGAAAAAATAGAATTATGAATTGAACAATTTTGTATGATCCAGTTTTTAATGAGTGATCAGTAAGTGTGGCCTTAAAATAGCCACGCCTGCCATGCAGGCAAGTGTTGGTCTGGGGTCTCAGACTGGGCCCCTCCCTCATGCTCCCTTCTGCCTCGTGCAGTCTTGGTGCTTAGTTGAACTGCAGGAAACCTCTGAAGACACAAGGGAGTTTAGAGGCCCCCACTGGGCCCTGGGGGTCCACCCCATCTCATTTGAACTCTGGTACTGGGTAGATCAGCTGTCAGCCCATTCTTGATAATGTCACATGTGGGCCGCCTGTCACAGGCTCCCTGTACATCTCCCAGAAAGTGCCCAATCACCAGCGAGACTCCGCAAACTTTTGCTCAGGGAGAAGCACAGCTCTTGACCAGCCTCGTGGTGTTCTCATCTCTGCTCCACCCTGCCCTGTTCATTTGCAGGCCTTGCGGTGGACAGTCCTCAGCCTACTTCCAGCCAGAAGAGTCCACTGAGCCTGAGCCCTGTGTCTCAGGCGGCTCTGGGCCCCACTGAGCAGGGCTCATGCCCCCTGCTCAGTCCTGTTCTTAGTGATGCTGGTGGACCCAGGACGGAAGACCAGGACGAGCCGAGGCACAAGGTGGGCTGCTGGGATGGGCTTGCTGGGAAGCCCAGGGCAGGAAAGGGTCTGTTCACACCCCATGAGCCTGAGGCACAAGACATAGATGCCTAGTGCTTTTGTGCTGACAAGTTTCCTCTTCATTTAACAAGCAGTTTCAGCACCTGTAGGTTCTAAGTGTCCTTGTCCGGCTGGGCAGGGATGGGATAGGCCGTGCCCTGGGGAAGCTTTTTGCCTCACTCTTCTCCCTCCTCTGGGCTCCTTCCTCCCTCCCTGCTTCCATTTTGCCAGTTCAGTGGTGGGAAAAGGTCTGGGTACAGCGGTCAGGCCGTAAGATGAGTGGGGCCTGAGCCAGAGGCTGGAGGGGTACAGGAGGCTGCTGTGGGCCCTGAAGACGGAGTTCATCAGGACCTCTCCTGTCTCTGGTTTTGATACACATCAGAGTCTGCAGTGACCATTCAGAGAAGCCTGAACATCATGGATTCAGGGGACACCATGACCCCAAGGCAGTCTCCACCCTGATGGCTTCACCATTGTGGCATCGTATTGAAGTCAGTGGGGCAGTGGAGTCCATCTGGGGTCTGGTTTTGCAGGTGGGCACATAAGAAAGGTTTAGGGAGTGAATGACCTTAAAATAATAAGCTTTGGACTTTACTGTCCCTGGAAGGCCAAGAGGAAGAAGTGGGGGACCTGAGCAGCAGCTGGGAGTAAGTGGGTGGGGCCTGCAGGGCCCTGTCAGAAGAGAGGTGCTGTCCCTCATTCTCCACACACACACCCAGATAGCTTCTAGAGAGGTTTCCCTGGGCTTGGAGGTTTCAGTCCATGATCTGATTGGCCCTGTGGCTTTGGATCTGTGTTGACATGTCACAGTGAGTGTGTGTGGGAGAGCCAGTCCTCTCGCCCCACAGCCAGGATGTAAGCAAGAGAAGAATAGGATGGGCTGGGCTCCCAGTGCTCTCCCAAGCGTGCCCCTCAGTGACCTGAAGAGCTCCCACTGGCCCTTACCTCTTAAAGCTGCCACCACCTTAGCAGTACCAGCCTGGACACCAAGCCCTTAACAGTGAGCCTATAAGAGGTATTCTGAGCCAGGCCATTGCACTGCTTTAGCCTGAGTTACCCAAGAAAGCATAGCCTGTCTGAGACCTGGATTTCCAGTTGGCAGCAGCATGGCAGTGAGGCCAGCTCCTCCTTTCCTGTCCCCTGGCCACCCTTGACTGGGCTGTGGCTGCCTGGTGGTTGATTCTGCTCCTGTGCTAGTCACACCTTGACTTCCAGCCTGCAGAACCCCTGTTGGCCACTTGGACCTCACTTAGCCTGTGTGGCAACAAAGCAGTTGTCCTGTGGGATAGCTTACTTTTTATTTTAGAAACCTAATGAAAATCTTATTTCATTGTTTCTTTGGTTTAAAGAAAAAATTAGCTTGAGGAAATCTGTTTTTAAAACTAAATTTTTCCCTGTTTTTTTGTTTTGTTTCTTGCAGTACTGGGGGCTGAACCCAGGCAGGGCCTTACACATGGTAGGCAAGCAGTTTACCACTGAGCCACATCCCCAACCCTAAAGTTAAATTGCATTTGTTCCTGAGCATGTTAACAGCCAACAGTTAACTCCAAGGTGCTCTGTAGAATGACACCTTGTCACACTGGAGTTGTCTGACACCATCAGAGATGCTCGTTAGTCCAACCCAAGGCCAGCAATGCTTCTGGGGCCTGTAGGGCGAGGCCCCCTGTTCCTCACAGGAGACAAGTCCTCTGTGGCAGCACTTGGAGGCTTGCAGCTCTGGTCTGACTTCTGCTTCTCCAAGGACAGCTGTGTGCAGTTGCCCATATCAGCATCCACAGACAAGGCTGGTGTCGAGCATGGTGGGCTGGTGGGGTGGCTGGGACAGCCCTTCCTCATGCTAACACCTGTCCGGTCCATCACCTACATTCAGGGCTCGCTGAGCAAACCGGCTTCTGGTGAGCTAGTGCCCGAGGTCAGGCCTGAGACTCTTGAGGTGGGCTCCAACCCGTCCTGTGTGATCTGGTAAACCTGTGTGCACCGCGAAGCCACCACAGGTTTAGTGGGAGCCCTAGTCCCAGGATAACTATTTTACTCATGTTGTATAGTTTGGTTTGGGCTTTTTGAAATAGAGCCTCACTAAGTTGCCCAGGCTGGGCTCAAACTTAAGGATCCTCCCACCTCAGCCTTCCAAGTACCTGAGATTACAGTCATTCACCATCACATCCAGACAAGTCTCCTGAAGGACCTGGGTTTGAGAGCCAAAGTGCCCCGACCCCCTGTCAAGGCATCAACCCTGTCCAGCTTTTGCGTGTGCCTCTGCCTGCTTAGCTGTGTGGAGAAGGAAGGGATAACGTGACCCTCTGAGTCCCCAAAGAAGCATAGTCTGCAGCTGGTCCCCCTTCTCTCCAGTGTCTCCCACTTGATACACCAGGGAAGCAACCAGAAGACCTGGTCCTTGGCTGGAGCCAATGCTTCCCTACCACAGACGTGGGCCCCTTAGGGCCAGCTCCAGCACCAGATGCTCACAGGACTATCAAGCCAGCTAGAGACGAGATGGCACTCACTACCACCCCACATTAACAAAACAAATGCGAAGGCTAGAATAGTAACTATTTCAGCTGCTCTGCTGGGAAGCTAATGCTGCAGGTGTGGGAACTCCAAGGAGACACTGCAGGGACCAGAGCCATCACATGGCTGCCAGTCATTTTGGAGAAGCATGGGAGAAGCTGCCACAGGATTCTGGGGGAAAGGACAGCAGGACCCAGTTTGAGGGGCCTCAGTGGCCATGGGTTCTTGGGGCGGCCAGAGAACACCAGCCAGCCGCCTTAGTGGGCTCCAGGGCATATGAGATGGGTGCCGTTTGGCTGCCCTTTTAGCTACAAGGTGCTCTGCAGGTATTCACCTGTCCTGAGCTAAAACTGAGAGGCATAGGGAGGAAGATATGAGCTCCATGTCAGTCTCCAGCCACTCACTGCTCCTCTCTGGCTTCTCAAGCCTACCTCACCCTCTTGTGGTGTAGACTTGACTCTTCCTCCCCAGACTCTCCCTACCTTCCCCACCTTGGGAATGGCAACTGATCTTCCCCTCAGCTCCAGCCCAGATCTGCTGCACCGTCCCCCACATGCACAGTGCCATCTTACGTGGCTGGTGCAGATACCACCTAAGGCCCCTCCCTGGCTGCCCTGGTCTCTTCACATCTTGGAGTCCAGGCACATCAAAATGCATTCACAGAGAACCCAGAGCACCCAGAGGGAGATGGCCTACTTTCCCCCTCAAGTACCTATTTCATCCCCCTTTTACCACTCCCACCACACCCCTGCTGAGGGGCCTCTGCCTTGTTTACAGCCCACCCTGTCCTCTAAGCAAGGCTGCAGGCCATCCCTGTGCCTCAGCCTTCAGCTCTACCTTGCTGTGCCTTATATTCTCTGTGGCACTTTTCTGTGATGATTTGTGACTCCCTCCTTGAGTCTGTCATTGCCTGTGCCTCCTCTTGGCAGGCAGCCAGTTCAGGGGGGGAGGGGACAGGGAGCAGAGACCTTTGCTCAAGGGCATGTCCCGGGTGCTTATTTGGAGCTGGCGTATCCTCAACCTACACTTGCACAGTGAACACTTAGTCCAACTGCCCTAAAGAAATCCACAGTCTGAGGGGAGTAGGTGAGCTGTGCAGAGATAGGGCAGAGGACGGACAAGGGGTTCGGGGTGGAGAGAGGCCCTCTGAGGACAGAACACAGGACCACAAGACCAGTGTGAGGCTCGTGCTTTGCCAGGACTGCCAAGTGGGCAAGGTGTGGAGTATGTCCATCACTGACTGCCAGCCAGGCACCACAGGCTGGGCACAGGCAGCCCTGATGGGGAGTTAGGAGCTCCCCAGACAGGTCCATCTTGGGCCTGCCGCAGGGGGTAACAGGGAGCTGTTGAAAGCTAAGCCTGGGTTCTGGGGTCTGGTCCACTTCCACATTTAGAAAGTGCATCAGCCAGCTCAGTGCTCTACTGTAGGCATCTTTAGAACATACCTTGTTTGGTCATTTTAGTGACTTACGAGTTGAGTTCGATTATTTACCATCTCACACAAACTTGTATGCCATACAAACACATTTGAGAGGGGCCTGGGATTTAGCGTGGCCTGCCTTGCTAAGCGCAACGACCTGAGTTCAATCCCCGGTACCAAAACAACAACAACAACACAAAACCAAACACATTTGAGGATTGGTGCCTGCTAACCAGCTGCACCACTAGCAGTGACAGATGAACAAAAATTTCATCACAAAACTAGTAATAATCCCAGCCCTGTTTACATATATTAATATTTGAACAGCAATTCTTTTCTCCAAAGAATAACATTAAAAACAAAAATATGTGAAGGAGCTACCTGGCAGAAATTGTGACCAAAGCTCCCATGTTGGTATTACTAAAGCAGAGGAAAGCAAGTGTTAAAGACTTCAGAGCTTCTCTGAACCCAAAAGGGTGTTACACTCATGGTCATCTCTCCTTCTTTCAGCGCATGCCAGAAGATGAGGCCTATTTCATAGCCAAGGAGATTCTTGCTACAGAACGAACATACCTAAAGGATTTAGAAGTTATTACTGTGGTATGAAACCCCAGTCCATGTTTACTTTTCCTTAGTATGTCTTAATTCTAAACATATATGTTCCATCCTGAAAAATATCTCCTGATAATCATTGCTATGTGTCTAAATTTTGTTATATCTCCCTTAAGACGTGATATCTAAGGTCACAATATTAGATCCAAGTTTTTGTAAAGCTATAAAGCTGAGACTGTCCATTCAAAACTTCTGACTTACAACTGTTTTGCTATATTTGAAGACTGGGTGGTCAGCAAAGGAATGTCTGGAGGTCTAGCTTGAGCCTTTTTCCCAGGCAGTGTCTGGAGGGTTTTGGCTGGATGTCCTGTGGTCATAGGCTCTCTCTCGGGGGCATGGTCTCTTGGTCCCCACCAAAGGCCACGCCTCCTGTCATGCCAAGCTCCTCCCACAGTGGTTCCGCAGTGCAGTAGTCAAGGAGGATGCCATGCCTGCAGCCCTGATGACCCTGCTTTTCTCCAACATTGATCCTGTATATGAATTCCACAGAGGCTTCCTGCGTGAGGTGGAGCACAGGCTGGCGATCTGGTAAAAATGCTGCATCCTGGGTGCCCCACATTCCCTGGACTCCCACACACAGGAGACCTCTATCTTCTGGACCCTCACTTCAGTGGCTTCTACTTTTGGGACTCCTACTGTACATGCTGGTAGCCCCTTGCCCTGGACCCATTCATGGGTAGTCACTGAGTGCTGGCCCTGTCGGGAGTTCCCTGTCCTCATTAACATCACTACTCAAGAATTTTCTAGCTTCAGAAACTAATTCAAAAGAGCCATCATTTCACTGAAGTATATTTTTAAATCCTGTGGAGAGATGTAGAAATTTAACAATAACCTTTACTCCTCCTTTTTCAGAAAATAAGTGAAAGGAGCAAGTTAAAAGTGGGTGAACTCATTTTTACCTGATTACGAACTTTTTTAGAGAATCACCAGACATGTAGTAATTATTTTTGTCAAGTAAAGGTCCTTCTACCTCAAAATATTCCATAATTCTTATGATTATGAATAGGGCAGCTAGTAAAGCTGCCATCAGATCATGGTGTTTTCTGCCAGCTTTCATGGGATTTGAACCCTTGTTCCTCTTTACTCCAGGGAAGGGCCCTCCACTGCCCATACAAAAGATAATCATCAACGAATTGGGGACATCCTACTCAGGAACATGCGTCAGTTAAAGGTAGGTCAAGCTTTTCTTGTGACTCCAGGCCTAGCATGAAAGCTGTGGGTGAAAACAGATCTGTTATTCTCTCATTAATGCCCTCACAACAGCATTTCCCAGAACAGAAACCATCCCCAAGAACAAGCTTCCCTCATAACAGTCTTCTCAACAACAGGGTTCCCTCCAGAAGAAGATTCCCCGCAGACACTATTTTTCCTTCAGAACATCATGCCCTGAAACAGGATTTCCCACAGAACAGTTCCCCTCAGAATAAAATTCCCCTTAAAGCAGCATTTCTCTCAAAGCAGCGTTCCTTCAGATGGTGTTTCACTAAGTTCAGCCTTCTTACAACAGTGTTCCCCTCAAAACAGCACTCACTTCAGTGCAAGGTTCCTTTCCTTTAGAATCTGAGGGTTGCCCTCAGAACAGTGTTCTCCAAAACAAAGTTCCAATAAAAACATACCTCATTTCAGAATAGGATTCCCCAGGACAGTAATGCCCCCTCAGAGCAGTCTTCTCTTTAGAACAGGTTCCCTCTCAGAATATTATTCCCCTAAGAATACATTGATTCAGAACAAGTTTCCCTTTTGTACAGATTTTTGTTCAAAATAGTATTTCTCTCAACCACCTTCCTCAAAGAGTGTTCCTCTAAGAATAGTATTTTCAAGTGGTATTCTCCTAAGAACAGCCTTCCCTCTAATAGTGTTCCTCCAAACAGGGTTTCCCTCAGGATAACATACCTTAGAAAGGGATTCCCTCAAAGTATCTTTCCCTCCCAGAACTCTGGGAAGTGAAGCCTGGGCAAGTTCGTGGGCTGCTGTCTCCAGTCAGTCAATCAAAAAGCCTGAGGCTGTAGCTCAGCAGGAAGGTTCTGGGTTCAACCCTCTGGGTTCAACCCTCTGTAACAAACACACACACACACACACACACACACACACACACACACACACACACCTAGAATGATCCAACAATTCTTATTCTACATATATGTCCAAAGGAATTGAAACTTGGCACTCAAAGATATTTGTACACCAGTGTTCACAAGAGCATTATTCACCACAGCCAGTATATGAGTGGACAAAAACAATGTGGTCTATCCATGTCATGGAATATTATTCAGCCTTAAAAATGAATGAAATTCTGACAATGCTACAACATGGATGATACTTGAAGACAGAGCATGCTAAGTGAAATAAAGTCAACATGAAAAGATAAGATACTGTATAATTCTATCAATAGGCAGATTCATAGAATAGAGGTCACCAGAGCCTGGAGGGGTTTTATTTATTGAGAATAGGACTTCTGTTAGACAAAAAAAGTCTGGAAATGAGTATAGTGATGTTTATACAACATAATGTACTGGATACAAATGTTTTGTTTGTTTTTTGAGACAGGGCCTCTCTATGCAGTTCAGGCTGGCCTCGAACTCACAGTGATCCTCCAGCCTCAGCCTCCTGAGTGCTGGGATTATGGGTGAGCACCACCATGCCTGGAACTGTACTCGATACAGATGAATTGTGTACTTACTGGTACATTTTGTTACATATATTTTATCACAATAAAAATATTTAAGTAACAAAAATTTAAGTAAAAAAAGTATCTTTCCCTATCACATTATTTCCACAGAACAGCCTTTTATCATATTATTTTCCTCAGAACAGTATTCTTCAAATAAGGTTCTCCTCAGAACAGACTTCTCAAAAATGGCTTTTCCCAGAAATAACAGTGTTCCCCTCAGAACGGTTTCCCTAGGACAAGGTAACCTTCAGAACAGAGTTGCCCTACTAGGCATGATGGCACACAATCTGTAATCCCCACACTGGAAAATTGAAGCAGGAGGCTTGCTGTGAGTTCAAAGACTGTCTGGGCTACACAATGAATTCAAAGTCAGTCTGAAATAGATAGGCCCTGTCTCAAAAAAAAAAAAAAAAAAAAGCTAAACAGAGTTTTTGTGCTTGACGCAGCCATCCCCTCAGAGCAGCCTTCACCTCAGAATATAATTCCTGATAATGGGGATCCCCTCAGAACAGGATTCCTCAAACAAGGACCCATTTGGAAAGCACTGATTAGAATAAGATCCTCCTCAGAAAATACTATCTGAAAGAGTGCTCCCTTCAGAACAGGGTTCTTCTCAATGTGGGTTTCTTTCAGAGCAAGGTTCTCCTTAAAACACTTCCCAGAGAAGTGTTCCACCCAGATCAGAGCTCACTGCAAAATACGGTTTCCCTCAGAAGAGGGTCTCTTCAGAATAAAATTCTACTCAGAACGGTGTTCATCTCAGAAGGTGGTTCTCAGTACAGCACTCCCTTCAAAACAGCTTTTTGTTCAGAGCAGTATTTCCCTCAGAATAGTCTTCCCCTCATAGAGCTTTGCTTAAACAGGGTTCCCTTCAGAACAGAGTTCTTCAGAATAATGTTCTGCTAGGGAGCCGGGTGTGGTGGCGCACACCTGTAATCCTAGCACTCAGGAGGCTGAGGCAGGAGGATCACTGTGAGTTCGAGACCAGCCTGGGCTACATAGTGAGTTCCAGGTCAGTCTCAACTATATAGTGAGACCCTGTCTCAAAACACCAAAAAAATTTTTAAAAAATAAACAATAATGTTCTGCTATGATAGCACACCTCAAAACATGCTTCTTCTCAGAACAGCATTCCTCAGGACTAAGTTCCCCTCAAAACAGTTTCCTTTTGAAAATATTTCCCATGACAGGATTACTTTGGAACAAGAGTTGCTTAGACAAAATCCTCCCTCAGAATACTATTCCCCTCAGAAGAGAACTCTCTTCAGAACATGTTCCCCTGAGAACAGGGTACCTTTCTAAATAAGATTCCATTCCTCTAGAGTATCTTTCTCCCCAGAAGGGCATTGTCTATATAACAAGGGCTTCCTCAAAACAGCATTCCCCAAAATGTTTCCCCTCAGAACCATTTCTCCAGAACTGAGTTCTTATTTTTTAAAAAATTAAAAAAAAATTTTTCTTCAGAGCAGTATTTCTCACATAACAAAGTTTCCCTCTGAGAGTGGGGATTTAGCTCAGTGATGCTGCTACCTGCCTTGCAAGCACAAGGTCCTGAGTTTGATTCCTAGTACCAAATAAAAAACAAACAAACAAAAAAAACAGTTTCCCTCAAGAAAATGTTTCTCAGAAAGGGAAAAGGGGTAGCCATTAGAATACTTTTCCCCAGAACATTGTTCCCCCTAGAACAGCCTTCCCTGAGAATTCTCCTTAGAATAGTGTTCCCTTCAATAGGATTCACTTCAATATGAAGTCTCCCAAAGCATGTTTAGCCTCAGAACATCATTCCACAGAAAAGTTCCCTCAGAATAGCTTTTTCCAGAGTGCTATTTCTCTCAGAACAGCATTTCTCAAAGCCAGTTTCCCTTCAGAACAGGGATTCTCTCAGAAGATCATTCTCCAAAACAAGTTTCTGAGCATCCCTCAGAACTAGGGTGCTATCAGAATATTTTTCTCCAGCACATACTTCCCCTCAGAATAGTACTCTTCAAACAAGGTTCCCATCAAAAGTTCCCCTCAGAACAAGGTACCCCAAAACGGAGCTCCTCTCAGGACAGCTTTGCCTTTACAACAATGATACCTTCAGAGCAGGTTCCTTCTCAAAAGAGTCTCTTACAACAGATATCTGCCATAATAGACTTTCCAGGGCCAGGGATTTAGTTCTGTGGCACTGCACCTGCCTGGCAAGTGCAAGGTCCTGAGTTCGGTTCCACTGTTCAATATAGGGTTCACCTCAGAATAAGGTGCCTGAGGGCATTCCCCGTAGAACAGTGTCCCTAGATGGGATTTCCCTCAGGGCAGGGTTCTCCACAGAGTAATGTTCTCAGAACAGGTTACCTCTCAGAATCAGTTCCCCTTAGATCCAAGTTTCCTTAAAACAGCATTGCTCTGGGCCGGGGAATTTAGCTCAGTTGTGCTGCCTCCTGCCTCCAAAGCACAAGGTGCCGAGTTCAGTCTCTGATACCAAAAACAGCATTTCTTAGAAGAGAGTTTCCATCAGAACAGTGTTCCTTTAGAGCACTCTGTTCAGAACAGGGTTCCCCAGTATACTGTCACCCTCAGCAAAGTATTTACCTCATTTTGGTTTCTCTGCAAAACAATGTTCCCCTCAGGACAGTGTCCATTAGAATTTTGCTCCCCTCAGGACAAGGTTCCCCAGATCATTATTCCATAGGATAGAGTTTCTCAGAACAGGGTTCCTCTCAGAACTTCATTCGCCTGAGAACAGTATTCCCATTTTAACATTCTCCTCAGAGCAGCATTCCTATATCTGGTGACTGGGGTGCTGGGCTTATAGTTCAGGTTTTTTCTTGAGCATGTTAGAACCCCATGAAGGCAGTGTACCAAGAAACACAAAAAATTGACAAGCCAGGTGTGGTGGCACATGCCTGTAATCCTAGCACTCGGGAGGCTGAGGCAGGAGGATTGCTGTGAGTTCGAGACCAGCGTGAGCTACATAGTGAGTTCCAGGTCAACTATATAGTGAGACCCTTTCTCAAAAATAAATAAATAAATAAATAAATAAATAAATAAATAAATAAATAAATAAATAAAAATAAGGTGACTTCTAGATAGCCATAGCACCATGAGAAAAGCAAGATATCCCTTCCTTAAAACCACTAGGGTTCACATCCACCTTAGAGGTGCTGCAGTCACTGTCCAGAGTCTTGCTCTTGCTACACAGACCTGGGCCAGGCCTCTCCTGCCCCTCGTGTGCACACAAGTTCACCACATGGCAGCCTCAAGATGTGGAACCCTGCTTGTATCACACTCCTTCCTAAATGGCTCCTCCTTCCCTCCCCTGTCCCTAGCTCTCAATACACCCATTTGTGGAATCCCTGTAGCCCCAGGATGCCTTTGCCTTGTCTTCAGATAGCAGCTGCCTCAAGAGTTCTATATTGCTCAGCCCCCTCCTGTCCTGATACATTTTTGGGTTCCTGAGCCAGTTGTTAACTAGAAAGTTCTACTCAGCCCAAAACCACACTGATTTAAAATTAAAATATATACAAATCTGTTCCATGCAGCATATCCTACCACACAGGTCACCTGTGTGTTCCATTAAACACATCAATCTAACCTTCTCGAAGGCAGGGACTAGTGAACATGTCTGGAACACTCACAGTCCACATGTGAGCACTTCAATAGCCGTTGCTAAGATGTCAGGCCTGGTTACCCCCCTGCTGCCAGTAACTGAGTCAATGTGACTGTTTTGCCCCACTCGCAAGTGATGCTTCTGGATCAAGCACTGGACTTGGGCTGAGCATGTTGGCTGTGTCCCATGAGGTGAGCTATCGCTCTCCTGGTTCCATCCTTCATATCTAAGGTGGGAAGAAGGTCCATAGTCACTCAGCACCAAAACGTTGGAGCAGTGAGCAGTAGGTGTCGGGGAGCCTTGACCCCCCTAGGCTGGAATGAGGTGCAGGTCAACGTGGAGTCTGAGATGGCAAAGACAAAACTCTGGAGGTTGGAGAGCCTCTGTCCATCCCTGTTTTGCCCTGTCAGGATTGCCAGCTGCCCACAGTGAGAACTCTGCCAGGCAGACCCCCACTCCATGTCTCCTCACCTAACCTTTTGTGCCCCAACAGGACTTTACCAGCTACTTCCAAAGACACGACGAAGTCCTGACAGAACTGGAAAAGGCCACCAAGCGCTATACAAAGCTGGAGGCGGTGTACAAAGAGTTCGAGCTCCAAAAAGTCTGCTACCTGCCACTCAACACCTTCTTGCTGAAGCCCATCCAGCGGCTGGTGCACTACCGCCTGCTGCTGAGCCGGCTGTGCAGGCACTATACACCCGGACACCACGACTATGCCGACTGCTGCGGTGAGTGTGGGTGCTGAGCACTTGTGCCTCGGGTCTGGGGACCTGGGAAGTAGGGGATTTGCTAGCCTTTTCCTCCCTGCTCTCCCATCCCCTTAGCTACTGCAGGGAGCAGACCCCAGATTGGTGCGTGTGCTGTTCACTACCCCAGTGCACCAGATCCCAGCAGCACAGAGAAGAACTGACTGCCCTAAGTAGGGCACAAGGAGAGGGTGCTGTGACCAGGGTGGTCTCCTGCTGCCAGGGTTCTCCACAGCCCACCCCAGAGTGACCTTATTCCTGAGGGTGTTCCTGTCTTGGAATCCTTGGCTCTAAAGCTTAGAAACATTTGGGCCAGGTAGCCTGTTAGAAGTTTCTGGTGTAAGACAGAGTCTCACTATTAGAATCCAGGCTACTAGCTAGTTAGTCCAGGCTGCCCTCAAACTTGCAACCTTCCTTCCTCAGCCTCCTGAGGGCTTGGACTCATTTTCGATTTGTGTTAAAGGGATAAGAAATCCCCAGTACCAAAAAAAACAAAGGGACAAGAAATAAAGTCTGAACCTTTTTAACCTACATGTAGGACTCCAGTGCAAGAAATTGTCTAGAAGTAAACTTACTGCTGCACTAAAAGTAGAGATGAAAAAATATGTAGCAGTTCCTTTTAGTCAGTTTCCCCTAGCCTTGCATATGTGTGAATAAGGGTGTATCCTAAGAAATGGAATGGATTATAGGAAGTTGACAGCTCTTTTATTCCAAATTATGTTTATTAAAAAGAAGAAAATTATTAAAAATTTCCTGCCAGGTGCAGTGGCACATGGCTACTATCCCAGCACTCTGGAGGCTGAGGCTGGAGGATTGCTGTGAGTTTGAGCCCAGGCAAGGTTACATAGCAAGAGCCTGTCTCATTAAAAGAAAAAAAAATTTCCAAGCATTTGAGGGACATGTGAAATCATCACAGCATGGTTAAGATGTTTCTTTCTCATCACCATTCATAACCCATAGTAGTTATGGAGCTGGGAGGAGAGGATGGCCAAGGCTCCAGGTGACCAGGAAGACCACTCCAGATATAGAGAAGCAGCACATGTCCATTATGTGCCCTGGGGGACATGTGACTGTGATGTGTAATGTGCCTTACAACATGCCATTTCACATCAGTAAAACTGGTTTCATGGGCAGATGGGAGAACAGCACAAGGCTATTTCTGCAAGGGTTTGTAAACTGTTGCTGTAATATAACACTTAAGAGCTCAGCCACATGAGGAGGTGACAGACAGTTCTCAGCTGCCCTTCCTGACCGTGACCCACCTTGGGCACAGGCCTGGGTCAGGAAGGGGCCTGTTAGGAAAGGCCATGGTCTGTATGTGCCATCAGCTCTTGGGCTACCTGAGGACTCAGAATTGAACTCTACTCAGAAGAGGGGAACTTGAGGCTGGGGATAGAGAAGGTGGTTTTGCTTAGCCTTAATTTTGGTGGGGCTTCCCCAGGGCAGTGCTCAGCCCCTGCTCGGTGTGTGGCATGTGTCGATGTCACCATCACTCACCTGCTTTGTGCGCACCACAGTCAATCTGTGAGGATGCCAGCAGCTCTGAATTCTGTGCCAAGCTTGCCACTACATCCAGGGTCCCTCAAGCTGTGTTCAGGGAACACAAGTGTTCAGAACCCGTGTGGTAGTGCAGGCTTCCAGTGCTGTGCCCTGTGGACTTGGCATCCGAGCATGGTGGCACTGTGCACTGTCCAGGGCGTCAGGAGGAGGGGTTCAGCCTCACGCTGGTCTTGAGGGATGGCCAGGCTGGGAGGGCACTAGGGCATCACACAAAGCAGACTGCACCTGCCAGGGCTGTGTGAAGACCACGGTCGCATATCTGAAGGTCTTCCTGCGTTCCCAGCTCTATGCTCTCATGTGTCACTTGTGAAAGAATATTATCTGTCATCAGTATTGACCATTTGAGTGCTTCCCGCTCACCTGCTTTCTCTTCAAAGCTTCAAGTGGCCTGTAAGGAGGATCCCGCAAACAGGGTGGGTCAGGAACAGGGCAGGGCCAAGTGAGGTTGGGGTCCTGTCCAGCTGCAGGTTATAGGAAGCAGAGATGTTGGCCCGGCAGGAAGTAGGTCTTGATAACAGGTGAGTAGTCAAGAGTGGTTCCAGCAAAGGAGATACATCTTTGTGATCCAACAACCACAGAAACAAGACTGCGTTGGCCAAGCAGCTCCTCCCTTCGTGGCCTGCTCAGGACTGGGTGGCCACGCTTAGTGTCAGATTTTGTTTTATGTGTTTTCCTTCCTGATTACCAACCTCTTAACTATGAAATGGGCACCAGTTTCTCCATCAGTTGTGAGGTGCAAAGCATTTATCCTTCTAAGCACAATAAACCATTTTCCACTGGGCCAGCAGCAGTGGTCAACAGTGTGAACAAGCTGAGGCTGCCTGGTCTTGCTGGGAGTGCCGTGTCTGGGGCGGCTGTGCCACAAGGAGTCCAGCAGTGTACCTTAATGAGAGCCTATCTTTAAAATGCCAGCTCATACATATGGTGGCAAGAGGGGGTCTTTGGGCACCTGGACTGAGGGACCTCTCCCACAGACGCCCTGAAGACCATCACGGAGGTGACTGCTACTCTCCAGAACAGTCTCATCCGGCTAGAGAACCTGCAGAAGCTGATGGAGCTGCAGCGGGACCTGGTCGGGGTGGAGAACCTCATCGCTCCTAGCAGGGTGAGTGGCTATATTTTGGGAAAGGGTTTGAGCTGGTTACTTTTTTTTTTCTTTTTTTTGAGACTTTATGCACACATCACAAAATTCACCCATTTTAGGTATGCAATTCAGTGGTCTTTAGTGAATTCACAAAGGTATATAGCCATCATCACTAATTCAGAATGTTTGCATCCATAGAGCCATTAGCAGTCACTTCCTGCTCCAGGAAAACCCATTGGTAGAGAGCCATCCACAAGCCACCTTGACAGGGGAGAGGTAGGAAGATCCAGAACTGCACACAGTACAACTGAGGACTTATGGACAGCAAGACCAGTGGACCCGTTTGGGTCTGAGGGAAGGGGCTTATATAATGCTTAGGTCAAAAGTGACTATGAGCCAGAAGGTACCTGGTTTCTCTCAAACATTGGGTACATCTGTGGCACTGATAGCACTGAGATCTGTCCTAAAGCCCCAGATCCCATTCTGATGGCTTTATTGACCGGAACAGGAAGCTACACAAAGAAACATGCAAGGCCACTCAGATTATGGCAGGGACAACTTCAGGCCGCTATCATCAAGTCAACCTGCATCCCTACACTTCTTGGCCCCCTTCCAGCCTGGCAACTACAGATCTACCTTTGTCTTAAGGTGTTACCAATTCTGGGCCCTTAATATACATGGAATCACATTATGTGGCTTTTTATATCTGGCTTCTTTCACTTAGCATCAAGCTTCCCAAGTTCATCTCCATTGTATTTACTCCCTTTTTTGGAGATGAGGGTCTTGCTGTGTTGTCCAGGCTGGTCCTGAGCTCACAGTCCACCTGCCTCAGCCTCTCAAGGGCTGAGATTACAGGCATGCACCACCATTCCCAGTGTAAGCATGTATAAGTTTTTGTATGAACATGTATGTTCAATCTTGAGCACATAACTAGAAATGGACTTGCTGGGCCATACAGAAACTGCTTAACATTCTGAAGAGCCACCAGGCTGTTCTCCAAAGTGACTATCCCATCATGACTCCCACTAACAGCCTAAGCGGGTACCATTTTCTCCATAGCTTGTCTTTTTGTTCCAGCCATCTTAGTGGCTGTGAAGTCACATCTTACTGCAATTATGATTGTGCTTCCCTAATGGCTAATGATGCTGAGCATCTTTTCATATGATCATTGGCCATTTTATTACTTCTTTGGAGAAATGCTATTCGTATCCTACCTTTTATTTTATTCATAATATGTAAAGAATTCTTAAAACTCAAAAGTAAAACACCAACCAATTGGGTTTTAAGAATTCTTTAGCTATCCTGAAGACTAGACCTTATCGTAACTTGTAAATATTTCCTGTGGATTTTGTGTCTTTTCACTTTCTTGATGGTATCCTTTATGATACAAAAAAAGGCTTTTTTGGGGGGCACATACCAGAGATTGAACTTAGGGCCTCACACTTGCCAGGCAGGCATTGGTACTGCTGAGCTATCTCCCTAGCCTGAAAAGGCTTTAATTTTGATGCTGTTCAAAGTCATCATCATTAGCTGCTTGTGTCTTAGATACTGTATGGAAGAAACCATTGCCCAACCCATGGTATGAAGAGTAACCATCGAACTCGGGTACTGGGGATCAAACTCGGGTCCTTGCACTTGCAAGGCAGGTGGCAGAACCACTGAGCTAAGTCCCCAGCCCTAGGTACTTTTTTTCTAATATTTTGTTTTAGCTTACATTTGGATCTCTGATGCATTTTGAGTTAATTTTTTTTGGTACCACGGATCAAACTTGGGTCCTTGTGCTTGGGAGGTAGGCGGTGGAACCACTGAGCTAAATCCCTGGCTCTATTGAATTAATGGGTCCAATTTCATTCTTTTGTATGCAGATATTCCAGCTTTCGTGCCCATTTGTTAAATCATCTTGTCACCCTTGTAAGAAAATCCATGAACCATAACTGTGTGGGGTTTTTGGATTCTCAGTTCTATTCCATGGGTCTGGATGGCTATTGGCTGCCTACTTTGTCACCAAAGCCTTTCTCTTTGAACTCAGTACTGTTAACATAAGAAAACTATTATAAAAATTGCATGATGGTTCCTTTCTCGGTACAAATGTATAGTGTGCACATCAGCTGTATTTCTGTTAGCCTCGTTGAAAGTAATGAGGATGTAAGTGTGAGCTCCAAGGAATGAAACACATTAGAATGTACCGGGGATTGAACTCAGGACCTTGCACTTGCCAGGCAGTGCTACACCACTGAGCCACATCCCCAGCCCTTAACTAGCTCCCAGCTTAGTTCACTTGAGTGCTAGGGTCTCTGAGGTGAAGCTGACTGAGCTCTGAAGAGGGATTCACTGCTGCCACCAGAGCAAAGTGACCACCGGCTCCCATGGTAACCAGTGCTAGACACCTGCCTTCTCCTTGGCCTTGAGGGTGTGCAGAGCCTCTAAGCAGGGACACAAGCCCTAGTAGCCCATCCAAGCCCCACAAGAGCACATGTGCCCAGAGGCAGCCCTTCCATCTGCACCGTACTCCTGTCTGATATGCACGGGCATATTCTGTACCAAGTTTTCCCTCTTGGTCCTTGGGACACTGAGGACAGCAAGTGTCAGTTATCCCTGATGCATTCCCAGGGCCGCCAGGCTGTTTTTCCCCTCTGAAAGGAGCGCTCTAGAATCCATCTGAACAAGGGGCTCTTTGGGACTTCCAGGACCATCACTTCATGCCCCAGGAACAGGCAGGGAGATGATGTGTCAGAGGCAGGGCTCCCCAGTAGGGCAGGGAAGCAGCAGTTTCTCCAGTCTGCACTGACTACCCAGGACACTGTGGATGGCTCCCTCATCCCCTCAGCAAAGCCTCATTCCTTGGGATTTTAGTTGGCCATTAAGATTCTTCTTATTTACCACCCTGGGGGCAGATAACCCAAACTGCCCAGTGATTTGTGGGGTCAGACCATTGCCTCATTCTCACACCTTCTACCTAGCTTTTGCCACACCTGGCCTCAGAGAACTTTGTGGCTGAAGCTTCTGGTGGCCTCTCCACAGTAAGTGCTTATCTTTGGCTTAGTGTCTCTGGCCCAGGACCCCAGCACTTGGCCCAGGGCAGGTGATCAGTAGACAGCTAGGGACTGTTGGTCAGAGCCAGACAGGCCATGGGTGACCAGGGAACTGTTGGAGGGTGGAAGGGCCCCCCCAGCTGGGTCTCCATGGAGTCTTGTTAAAGCAGGCCTGTCTTCACCTTTGGCTGCCCCTTTCCTGTCTTCCAGGAGTTTATCCGTGAGGGTTGCCTCCACAAGCTCACCAAGAAGGGTCTACAGCAGAGGATGTTCTTCCTGGTAGGTTCCCAGCATGAGCCCCACATACCAGAAGGAAAGGGCATGGATCTGCCAGAATGGCTCTGTACAGTCCAAGCCTGCCCACCTACCTGTGCCACTCAGCCCCTGGTGGCTTTAGTCTAAGCAGCTGGCCTCAAAGTCAAAGGGCAGCCAGGGAGGTCCCCTGGGTTAAGAGGCAAAAGCAGCTGCTCTGCCCACCCAGTTGATCCCTCACCTGTTCCAAACTCCAGGACTGTCGGCCAAACTAGCAGAGGCCTAAGGAATGACATCCAGGGCTGGGAAAGGCTCTAGAACCCAGCAGCAGACAGAAGGCTAGAGCTGGCCAGGAAGCACTGTGGGGCCAAGTAGCTGCCAGTGTCCTGCTCTTACCCAGCTCCTTTCCTAGTACCAAAGTTTTGGGACCCAACTAGGGGTTCCAGCCTGAACTGTTTGGGTGAGGTCACTAAGTCACACCAGCCAGCATTCACCTACAACAGCCCACCAGGTATGCTGGTCTTGTGTGCTTACTACTTACCTCTGTGATCAAATACCTTTTATTGCCAAAAATCACCAAGCTGCATAGATCTGATAATCACATAATGACCACCCGGAATCCAGGAGAGTTTATAAGGATGTTGAAGCTTTGTCCTATGATTTCACAATTAACTTGAGGCTTCTGTTCCTCAGTTTTCTGATATGCTGCTGTACACAAGCAAGGGCATCATGGGGAGCAGCCACTTCCGGATCCGGGGCCTCCTTCCACTACATGGCATGCTGGTAAGTGGGCCGCCATGCTCCCTTAGTGTGGTAGCAGCTTCATACCCAACTGTGATGGCCACACTGCCTCAGAGGACCCTCTGGTCTTATCTAGGTTTCAACCTTCAGGTTGTTCTGTTGATTCTTGGATCCGTCTTAGCCAACATGTGGACCTCCAGGCTGACCAGACTCTGATGCAGCCCCGAAGTCTCAGAACCAGCCTGGCCACCCCTACCTCAAATGGGGCTTTGGTAGCCAGCTTCCTTCACAGGCCACCCGTGTTTGTGACCTTCATCTACAGGCATAATCAGCTTTCTGCCCTTCCCTGGGAATGGAATTCTATCCCTCAGATAGTCACAAGCTCTGCCTTCTCCCTTAAGCTAGAGCCTCCTGTCCATATCACATGTCCCTACATCTTGGACAAGCTGTGGACCACTGGTCCTCATGCTGCCTTCTGAGGCAGAAACCCCTCATTTTAATGTGATCCACTGAGGTTCAGGGCAAGGCTGATGAAAACCCTGCTTGAGATCACAGAAATCTGCAGATCTGGGGGCCATGTGACTTCACATGGCTTATCTTAGTAATAACATGGGACACTAAAGCTTTGCCAGCAGTCCAGCATGCCTTCTCTCCCCAGCCCGCTCTCTCCACTGCTGCAGTGCACAGCAGGGCTTCCTCCCTGTCCTCTTCTCAGTGTCTGCCCTGCATATGCTCTGCTTAGCTCCTGTGGTGAGGCTGTAACTCCATATAGTATCTGGCCTTGCTTTGGCTTAGCAGTCAGTTTGAATAGCCTCCTCTGCCCTCACTGGCAGCAGGCTCCGTTTTAGTCTCTTTTCAAAACACCGTTTTATCATAGAAAAAAATGATCTGAAAACATAAGATAAAGCCCCTGCCTGCAGCCTCCAGGGTCCTGCGTTGTGACTATAGTCACTTTCTGTGATTCATCACAAGCATCTTCTCACACACACTCTGGCTTAAGAGGCAAGCAGTGACAGGAAGCCATGTTCCTGGGTACCTTCTTGGTCACCTATCACAGGATGCAAGGGTGAGGCTGGTTTGTCAAGATGGTAAACAGCACTACTGGGTCTCTGCTTCCTTTTATGACCTTGAGGTGCTCCAGGATGGTTCCCAGAGTGGTGTATGGGCAAAGACTTAGTATGCCACTGCTGTGCACTTGCCCTGCAGCCTGGAAAAGGGTGGTGCTCCATCCCTTCTACTGCTCCTGACCCATGGCCCAGCAAGTAGGAAGGACACTGCCACTTCATTCTGTGTCCCTCCACTGATGGCAGAGCTGGCCTCATTCATACAAGAATCTCAGTGTACCTTTTGGCCCAAGTCTCCAAAGGCCTGTGGTCTTTTTGTACACGTCAGTGAAACCTCCACATACTAAACTGCTAGCCAACACTTACAGGTCACACTTCTCAAGGTAGGAACTACTTTTCCTCCCTGCAACTAGGCCTGCCCCTGCAGAACTCAACTCCCTCCTGCCAGTACAACGATTGGTGGTTGGCATCCTCGCTGTCTTGAGAACACATTATGGGCTTCACCCCTGACTACACAGAACGGGGTGTTGGCTCTCAGGTTCTGAGTACTGCTGTCAGCTCAAAGAGATGCTGATGGCTTCCAAGGACAAACCATCCCTGCATTCTTCTAATACTGTACTTGGCATGATGTGGAAATACTTTAATGGAATTATTTCATAATCATTTCTACTTTTAGTCTACCATGGCTATTCTTTGCATCTCACATTGGTAGTCCTTGGTACCAGGTTCATAACTGAACTGTCTCTACTCCCTTTTTCTTTTCTTTTTCCCCCTTTCTGGCACCAGGAATCAAACTCAGGACCTTGTACTTGCCAGGCAGGCATGGCACCACTAAGCTATACCCCCAACCCCCAACTCCCTTTTTAAATGAAAATGCTCAACATTTTCCCCTTTGCTTTTCAGCTAATAGTACTGGACCGACCAGTGAGTACTTGGGTATCCTCTAGTTTAGAGCTAACCACCTGGCTACCAGCTGCCATAGTGTGGGGACACGGTGTACCTCCTGTGGCACATCCTTGTAGTTGTGCAGACTTGGACAGCACAGGGCTTTCAAGCTAGCTGTACCTGCCTAGTGCTGCTGGCTATCACCTGTATCCTTTCTTAGGCTCAGTATCAGCCAGGCCTGAGACATCTGCTTTTCTCACCCACAGGTAGAAGAGAACGAGAATGAGTGGTCTGTTCCTCACTGCTTCACCATTTATGCAGCTCAGAAAACAATCGTGGTGGCAGCCAGGCAAGCACTTTCCATGTCCCCCCATCCCAAGCAGGCCCCAGGCACAGGGGTGAGGGCTTCCCTATGACAACTGGATACCTTGGAGCCCTTCAGGGTCTCAGACAGATCTTCTTCCTAGTCCCACAGCCAAAGACACATCCTATCTTGTTGGGAAGGCAATACTCACTGACCTTGGAGAGTTTCACAGGACAGGGCCTCCGAGGACAGGTGGCCCACAGAGCCCATGAGGCTGGTCTTGTAAGTCATGAGAGCTTCTGGCCTGGAGCAAGGGGCAGGGCCCGTGGCTGTGCCAGGAGGGTTCCCCTCCCACAGGAAGCCAACCTAACCATGCCTCCCAGCCAGCCTATCTCAGCCTCAGAAGCACTAAGAGCCTTGTCTCAGGAACAGACTAGCCCTGGGAGATCAGCTCCAAGTCCAGGCTCAGCCTCTTGCTGTCCTCCCTGCTGCCCCACAGGTGGGACAGATGGAACAGGGACCCTGACCAGCCCTCAGGGCCACGCAACAGGCCATGCAGTCCACTGAGCCTCACCCTTCTCCCCACAGCACTCAGCAGGAAAAAAAGAAGTGGATGATGGACCTGAGCACTGCAATCCAGGCAGCCAAGAATAGCAGCAGAGGTGACATGTCCCCAGGACTGCCAGGAAGCCCTTTGTGTACGCGTCCCCCTCGTGAGTCCTGGCCAAGGCCCTTGAGCTGTACAGGCAGAAGCCCCATGTGGCTCTGCTGTGCCATCTGCTGCCTGGGTACCCAGGACCACCTGGGAGCAGCAGCAGGGGAAGGTATCCAGCACTGCTTACTTCCCCAGGGTCCTCTGATGAGGTCGTGCTGGAACAGGAGCCAGAAGACACCACTCAGTGCCCTGGAAGCTCCCTGGAAGGGCAGGGCCAGCACCGAGCCAACACCACAATGCACGTGTGCTGGTACCGGAACACAACTGTGTCCAGGGCAGACCACAGCGCTGCTGTTGAGGTATGACTATGCCATCACCAGCATATGTGGAAGCCACCCACCCATGGGCGATACTGCCTCCTGCTGTCCCCTCAGTGTAAGTCAGTTAAAAGTCCCCTTACTGGGGTTTCACCCCCAGATCTACACATGTGGTGTCCTGTGGAGAAAGAAGTCCATTAGGGGCCACAGCTTATTTGCAAAGCCTAGGCAGCTGTCTGGGGGGCTGACAAAAGGACCAACTTGGGCGTGGCCCCTGTAGCCTCTCTGGCATGTCACATAGCCCCTCACCTCCATCCCAGGGTAACCTCACCTCCTTCTCTGGGCCCACTCTGCACCTTTCTCCAGAGCTAGGGCAAAGAGCCTCCCACTTAGTGACACTACTGTGGGTCAGAGCCAGGAGATTCCTGACTAGGCCATAAGCTCTTGTCAGAACAGGGCCCAAGCAAACTCCCTGCTATAGCTCTGCAGGCTGGCAGGGGCCCACAACCAACACTTGACATGGGTGTGGAAACACTTCAGGGACAAAGCTTCACTCGTGGGCAGGACAGGGAACAGGCTGGTCACTCCACACGGGGCTTGGGCTCAAGGCCAGGCCAGCCAAGGGCTCTTATCCATGTGTGGCACTCACATGCCCCCATCTGGACACATGGCCTCATCTTCCCTCTTCTTGCTGTCAGGTAGCTCTATGGGCTGTTGAAGTGGTGGTGTTTCTCAGGGTCCTAACTCAGCACCTGGAACAACATTCTCAACTTGAGCAGCCTGTTAAGACCACATCTGAGAACAGCATTGCAGGGAGCCACTATGCACAGTAGAGGCAGGCAAGAACCAGGCCTCAGCAGTGGAAGCCTTGATAGGTGTCAGGAGATGGACCCGGAGTGTGCTTTCTTCTGACAGAACCAGCTTTCAGGATACTTGCTAAGAAAATTCAAGAACACCAATGGCTGGCAGAAGCTCTGGGTGGTCTTTACCAACTTTTGTTTGTTCTTCTACAAGACTCACCAGGTATGTGCACTGGGGCCTAGCATTTTTTTTTTTCTTTTTTTTTCTCCTGGTACCAGGGTTGGAACTCAGGATCTTGTATTTACAAGCTAATCCCTGGTCCTTGTGCTGAAGACACACCCTTCTCACCTGTGTCCTCAGCATGGCTCTGGGAACCGGCTCCTCATTGCTCGCCTACCCTCCCAGTGCCTTCTGTGTGCAACAGGAATCAGTGCCTCCTTGCCTTGCGTTCCTGTATTCAGGGGGCCACTGTGTAGGGTGCGGTGGGGACAAAGCAATGGCCTTGCCCATGTCCCTATGCCAACCTACAGGATGACCACCCCCTGGCCAGCCTCCCACTGTTGGGCTACAGCGTGAGTGTCCCCAGGGAGGCAGATGGCATCCACAAGGACTACGTTTTCAAGCTCCAGTTCAAATCCCATGTCTACTTCTTCCGGGCTGAGAGCAAGTACACATTCAAGAGGTGATTTTATAGGGAGCAGCCTGGGTCTGGTTGGTGTCTCCTGCCCACTCATGCAAATTTCCTGGTCCTGGAAAGCAAGGACTGAGCAATGCTTCAGGTTGCTCTTGGGAAGCTGTGAGAGAACAAGCCCACTGGCCTGATGACATGGCCCTTCCTGCAGGTGGATGGAGGTAATTGAAAGAGCCAGCAGCTCGTGTGGTGCCCCAAGCCTGGCACAGGACAGCCCATGGCCCTGCTCAGAGGTGGAGGGGGTGTTCAAGAAGAAGGAAGAGTGAAGCCCACCTTGGCTAGGCCAGGACTTGCTGCAGAGAACTGCTCATACCAGAGATGGCCATCCCCGTCCTCAGGCTGCACTGAGGAACAGAGGTGGCAAAGTGCGGTGACCCTCAGGTTGCAGTGCAGGCCTGGACAGATATCTCACTCTTGAGACCTCAGTGGGGAGACACAATTACCCTGGGATGGGGACAAGGACCATGGGACTTTAGATGGGCCCCAGAGCCTGGTCTACAGGTCATAGCAAGCTGAGAATCAGGAAAAAGCTTCTCTCATTCCCATCCCCTCTACCTCTGGAGAAGAGGAAACCAAAGCCCCCTGCAGCCCTGGGAGGGTGGGGCCTCCTCCACCTTTTTATCTTCCCTGGACACAGACACATGACTCCTGCTCAGGCATGTGATTACAAATAAACATCATCCCCTGACCTGCTGGTGTGTCTTCTGCCCTGCTGTTCTGCTCTCTAGGGAGCCTGTAGAGCTTACACAAAGAGACCCAGAAGGGAGACCAGTGGCAGTCACCGTGGGCTGGGACACCTCAGTGGCTGGGGATCAAAGTAAGCCAAGGGGTGTCTGTGCTGCAGGAACCCCACCTAGTGGGCCCCTTATAAGCATTGGGGTCTTCAGTGCTCTAGGATGCAAATACCTTACCCTCACAACACCAAAAGAAACAGCTCAATTTTCTTAAAAACACATTTGGGGTGACACGAGTACTTATGAGAAAACACAGTACCTGATCCAACACCACAAGGCAGATCTAGGATCATCTTGGGCCCCTGCAGACAGCATCAGGGTGGGAGGGAGAGGAAGGTGGACTGGGGTTCCCCACAGGCTGCCCTGTTGCGCCAACCCGCCAAAGGGAAGGGGTCAGAGCTGGCCAACAGTCCCTCTGCTACTCACAGCTTCTGGGGGAAGCCTGAGACAGCCCTGTGGCTGCCAGTGGACACTGGTTCACAGGCTCTGCTGCTGGGCACAGCTCTGGCCAGGTAGGGAGAGGGACACTGGATACTGTGCCAGGCAGGAAGGTGACCCAGCCCATGAGGCCCCAGGCTGACAAGTCCTCACAGTCACAACACAGCATGGGGTGGGGGACTTCCAAGTCACGGTTCTTTCAACAGTCAGCACAGCAGTAGGATTCTGTCCTGTCCACAAAGAGCAGCACGCTCAGCGGCTGGATGTCAGATGGTTCCTGCTGTGTGAGAACCTGTAGGGGAGAAAGGCCCATCACCGCACTGCATATGCCCCAGCAGCTAGGCCCACAGCCATAGGTGTGCTATCTGTGGTGTCTGTGGTGCTGCAGGTCCTGGGAGCAGCACCAACTAGCCAGGGCCACTGGGTGGGTCTCCTGTCTCATGACAGTGGAAATCAGTGCCCAGAGGGCAGGGAGGGCATGGCAAACCTGGACTGTACAGCAGAAGCCTGAGCCTGTCCCTGTCCTGCAGCCAAAGGCCTTTCCAGGAAGTCACCAGAAAGGGAGGTCAGAAGTCAGCTGCACACAACACCATGGCCTGGGCCAGCCCCTACGCCCTCCCTCACGCCATGGAGCTCAAGACCACAGATGGAAGTAGCCACCAGCCTCTTACCTCTGCACACGCTCCACCAGGCGCACCATGAGCTGGTCTGAGATGCCGGGGCAAGACTCCTCAGCCAGGCTGAAAGCATTCTCCAGCTCCTCCAGTGCACCCACACTGCCACCGCTCTGCCTGTGTTTCTCCTTCAGCTGCAGAAACCAGGCCAGGAAGCCAGCAGTGGTGGCGTGGCACAGGCAGCACATCCCACTGCACCAACAAGGGCCCTTGCACTTGCTCCTCCCAGCAGAGGGTCCCGTTACCCACCACACAGGTCCAGCCTGATTATTAAAAGGATACAGCCCAGCAGCTCTCAGAGTACAGTGCCCAGGCCCCAGGCAGGAATAGTCATACACACCCCAGATCTGACACCAGGCTACATAGCAAGCAGCAGCCACCCTAGGATGTCAGCTCCACGGAGGCCTCTCTTGCTAGGGCTGAGGCCAGACCCACAGGCTGCCCAGGACACAGATGGCCCTGCATGGCTGTGTCCTGTTGCTATCTGTGGGGCAGTGTTCCTGTCCATCTGCCACCTACACCCTGTCCTCCCTACTCCCTCCAGGGATTCTTCGCACTCAGCAGTGAGAACTGATGCTCCCTGGAAGGGAGCCTACCCAAGCCTACTCTAGACACAAGGGTCCCAGCTGCATTGTACATCTGGAGATGGCTCTGATCTCCCATCAGCAGGTGACTGTGATGAGAGACCACAGGGCCACCAGGGAGTCATCCTTAGGTTGCCCTGCCCTGAAACTAACCCCAGCACTGAGAACTAGCCTCCCTGTTCTCTGTCACAAAACATTAGCTCTTGCTCAGAGTCACCTGAGACTCTAGACGATCTGAGCAGGGCTAGGAACCCTAAGGTCCTGCCAGAGCTGGACATGGGGTCCACACTTGTGACCCCTGTTACCGAGAAGGCTGATGCAGCATGGTAACTGAGGGTAGCCCAGAGAATCCAGCAAGCCCTGTCTCAAAATCTAAAAGCAGGGCTGGAGCGCACTGATAGGGTTCCAGGGAAACCATCCCCAGTATAAAATCCAACCAAAAAAAAAAAAAAAGGGTTCTGCCAGGGAAGTACATTCATCCCAGGGGCCTGTGGTTGCTTTGATCAGAAATTCTAGCCCACAATCAGCTGCAAAAGACCAAAAGCACCTGTGTGGAGAATCTACACTAGCAGAGCCAGCACAATGAGCATGGCATTGCAGGGACAGGGGGCCCCACAGGACAAACCCAGGCCCAGCCCCATCCTCACCTCTCCAAAGACAGGCCGGACCAGTGTGGACAGGCACTGGGACCGTGGCTGTCTCTTGATAGGGTCTGCAGGCTGTAAGGAGGAAGCCGAGGAATGGGGTGAGAGGGAGCAGGAGATTGGCTTCCTGCTCAGCCTGGAGAGCCCCAGGAGCCCAAGGCCTGTAGGTCTTACCCAAGTTAGCTCTCAAAGGACCTCATGCTCCCCAAATGCTTGGCCCAGGCTTCAGAGCAACTCTAGCCAGCCCAACAACACTCCTGGCTCCAGACCCCCTGCTCCACCCTGGTCCCATTTCCTCACTGGGACCCAGGCCTCACCCCAGCTCACCCTGCAGCCCCACAACACGCAACAGGACAGACCTTCTGAGAGCTGTGCAGGGCCATCCCCTTGTGTAGCTTGTTGTGTGGGCTCGGCCGGATAGTTGGCGGGAATGTCCAAATGGGGCCCTGTTCCCCTTCCTCGGCCTCGCCATCTCTAAAGGAGAGGCTGATTCAGCAGGGCCAGAAGGGCCCCAGGCTCCAGCCCCAGCACCACAGAATAAAAAAGGTTGTGTTATGGGCAGTGTCTTCTGGAAACAACAAGGTAGAACCACTGTTTCCATTGGGGCCTGCCTTTCAGCCAAGGGGCCCCTTCCCAACACCAGGCCCCAGGCTCTGGAGTGGGTACCCCACCCGGCCTGCCCACCCTCAGGCTGTGGAGTGAGCATGCAGCAGAAGCCCTCATGGACAAGCGAGGCCCCTACATGTCTGAGTCCTCGGAGCTAGACTCTTCACCGTGCCCCTCCGACTTCCAGCGCTTGTAGCGGTCAATGAGCTCTGTAAGGAAGGAGGTCTTCTTGGTGTAGCGCGTGATGAACTTGTGCTTCAGGAGCTCCTTGGCTGTGGGCCGCTGTTAAGGTGCATGCTGATCACCAGGTGCCAGGCACAGCCAGGTACCAAGTACAACCGAGGTCCACCCTTGCAGGCTAGCACACACAAGGCAAGCTGGGTGGGCATGGGGGTCAGGGTAGGAGGCCCTCATTGTAACAGGTCACTACAAGGAAGGAGACCGGGAGTAAGCTACACCTGAGGGCCCTGCCCCTCCTCAGGTTAGTGTCCTCCCCAACAACAGCCTGCCTGCCAGGAATCAAGACTTACAAATCGGGGATCCTTGTTGAGGCATGCCTCCACAAACTCCTTGAAGGGCCTGCTGTGGTGGCCCTCCAGTGTGGGTGGGCTGTTCTTGGGGATCAGGAACAGGACACGCATGGGGTGCAGGTCAGAGTTCGGCGGCTCCCCCTTGGCCAGTTCGATGGCCGTGATACCCAGAGACCAGATGTCAGCCTAGATGGATGGAGCAGCACAGGGATAGCTATGGCATGCAGCTCCCCACCTAGCTGCATCACAGGTCTTGGCCCCCTTACCCCCCAAACCCACCTTGAAGTCATAGGCTGACTGCTTGATGACCTCTGGTGCCATCCAAAAGGGGGTGCCCACAAACGTGTTCCTCTTGATCTGCGTGTCGGTGAGCTGACCTGCCACCCCAAAGTCGGCCAGCTTCACATCTCCCTGCTCTGAGAGCAGCACATTGGCAGCTGCTCAACAAGGATGGACTGTCACCCTCGGCTTCACACGCCCCAGGAAGCCCTGCTTGGGAGCAGATGCTCCACTTGCCAGTAGGGCATCCACCCAATCCCTATGGACTCAGCAAGACTGTCCTGGGACCTCTGCTTTCTTTGCCACTCCAAATCAGGCAGTCATGGGCTACAGGGCAGCAGGGCCCATAAGTTAGGGACCCCATCCCAAGAGCCCCCCACCCCACCTGAGCTCAGGCCTTCCCATCTGGCCTTCACGACACATCCCAACCACAGGGCAGCCACAAGACTCCTAGCAGTGAACCTGACCTAAGCCCACAGCCCACACGGACTAGTCAGGAAGACCCTGCCTCTGCCAGCAGCATCGCCATAGTGTCAAAATGGCACAAGGCCCTAGACACATCCTTAGGGTGGGGGGTGTGCTAGCCTACCCTGGTGTGCTCAATAGGGCTGTACCTGAGAGGCAAGGATCCAATGCCTAGGCTCAACCAGCCCCACCCACCCTAGACACAGAGCTTGCTTCTCCAGAGCATAGGGGAAACTAAGGCTTGTGAAGGCTCAGGAGAGGTTCCATGGGACAACACTGGCCCTGGGCTCCAGCCTCAGCACCACAGAAAAATTTTTAAAAAGGTTGTGTTAAGGGCAATGTCTTCTTGAAACAGAAAAAGATGGAACCACCATTTCCAGGTGGCCACAGGACTCTCTGCAGCCCAGATCTCAGGCAATATAGCCATTCGCCCCACCCTGGCCTCTCTAGGTCAGAAGGCCCACCACAGAACAGAGCTATGCCCACCCCGCAGGACCTTTGATGTCACGGTGGATCTTGCGCTCTGAGTGCAGGTAGTCCAGGCCCTTCAGGATCTCCCGCAGGATGGTGGCGATGTAGGTCTCCTCCAGGGGGCCTGGTTTCAACTGGAGGGAGGTGACAGGGCAGGGCCTCAGCCACCACACCCACACCCACCCCTGAGCTCCACCACCTTGCCCAGGAGAAGGTGCCCTGAGATAGCTAGGCTTATGTTCCTTTAACAACTTATGGATCAAACTCAGACCCCAGGAGTAGGTCAGAGGCTATTTCTAAAGAATGTAAGCTACCCTCACCCTTTTGGTGGACACAAAGCTGAGAGCAGGGCCCCACACACCCAGAGATTCCTTGCTCCCCCACCTTATGTGACAGGACACCATCCTTGTCACTCCCGAGGCCAGCAGAGACCTAGCATCCCTCTCACCACCAACCAGGGTAGATTCACATCGATTGCTCTAAGATGCAGAGGAGGTGACTTAAGGGTTTGGGACACTGCACTACCCATCCACAGCAAGCTTCCCACTACTGCAGCCATACCCACCAGGTCCAATGCAGAGCCACCACCCAGGTACTCCATGATAATCCACAGCTTGGTGCTCTGGAAATAAAGAGAACCCATCAGTGCCTGACAGCAGGTAGTGGGGCACGGAAGGCCCCACACACACATCCCATGAGGCAGCCAGGGCTTGGGTCACACAGAGAACCCTCTTCTGCACAAATATGTGGTAGGCAGACCGAGTGCCCATCAAACCCAGGCCAGAGGCTCAGCCTATGGTCTGGGAAGACAGCACACAGGACAAGCACTCAGTCCAATGCAGCCACACAACAAGCATCTTCACTGGCATACCTAGACAGCATGGGCAGCAGGGCTGCTGGATGGCTCACAGCAGCACCCGTAGGCAGGTAGCCCAGACATTACAGCCACTTCAGAGCAAATGACCTTCACATACCCTGCTCACAACCTGCCTGCCCCACAAAAGACCTTTGTCCCTTTGGAGAGGCTCCTGTGCGCCAGAGTAGCACCACCTGGTGTGGGACCACAGGCACATCACATAGTCTCTTTGGACTGTATGCACAGAGCACAAAGCCCCCTCCCTACCCCTGCAGACCCTCTGCTCCCTGCAGGAACCTTCAGGTAGGAGCCAAAATAGCGGGTGATGTAGGGGCTGTCACACTGGCTGAGCACGGTGATCTCCTGCTGGATGTCCTCGATCTCATCCTCAGCCTCTTCCAGATCAATGATCTTGATGGCCACCACCTCTTTGGTGTGGTTGTCGATGCCCTTGTACACCTCCCCAAACGAGCCCTTGCCAATGCGGTCAAGCTTAGTGAACAGCTCCTCAGGGTCCACTCGAGAGTGCTGCAGAGGCCGGGGGGGAGGGAGACACGACAGAGGTTAAGCAGTACCTGGTCAGAGGAAGTGTCACAGGCTACCCTGCTGGGTGAGTGCAAATCACAGGCAAGGAGCCCAAAGGAGCTCATCTCAATTCCCTCTGGTTTCTCTTTTTATGCCTTGTTCAGAAACCAAACACCTGTAATCACAGCACTAGGGAGGCTGAGGCAGGAGGAGCACCATGAGTTCAAGGCCAGCCTTGGCTACATAGTGGGTTCAAGGACAGCCAGAACTACATAGCAAGACCCTGCCTCAAAAAACAAATAAACACAAACTACCGCTCCACTCTCCAAGCTCCAGAGAATCCCAAGTGTGACAATAAATCCTGAAAGACCATGTCTCAAACACCAGCACAAGACATTAGTAATGAGTACACTACAAGTCTATAATTGCCATATATCCAAACCTGCTCTAAAAGTATCTATCAAAGATATAATCCAGCACAGATCAACTATGTTCTCTATACACCTGAAAGCCACACCCCTGAAAAGGGTTGTCCACCTCTAAGGCAGTGGCTACACCTCTGCACCAGCACTGAATTGAAAGCAATGCTTTTTCATGTACTCATTCTAGATATTCAAACAACACACTGCCCAATGTGGTCCTCAGGGTTTACACCAATGAGACCTGAGAGTTGCCAAGCCACAGTGAAAAGGCACCAGGTCCACCCCAAGCATCAGGACAAGGTCTGAAAGGTATGTGTGCCCTTTGCCCACACTCTGCTCTGGACTTTGAGCCAGGACCAAGCTATGATGGCTACAGAGCCTCTATACAGGCCAGGACTGAAACAACAAAGTTCCTCCAAGGTCACTGCCAGAACCACCCAGGAACACTCCTAGTCTCCTGACAATGCTGTGCTCCCTCATCACCACCAACAAGACATTCTGAGAGGCCCTGGAAGCTCAGCAGCCCCACATAGTATCTTGGTGCCACATAAAAGTGGACAGGCATAAAAAGGCAAAAGCACACCTTGTTACATGACATAAATGCTGACTGCTCCAGTACCTGTCACGCCAGGCTAAGGGCAAGGCCTGTCCTCCAAGAGTGGACACAGCTGTCCACTCCCCTGGGACACCTGTACACAGGGATCCTCAGGCACTACCACCCCTGCAGAGTGGCTGGTATAGAACTCGAATGAACCAGTGTGAGACATTTCAATCCAAAGTTGCCAACTAGCTGCCTTCCCAGGGTTCGTGACTAAGGGCAAGGGAGGAAGGAGATGGCACCAGCCATTCTATACCCTTCTGAGCACCAGACTCCAAGGTGACAGGAGCATTGGGGGGGGCATGACAGGTGGCTGGGGAAGGATCCCTGGACCAAAAGTGGCTTCTCAGCATGGAAGCCACTCAACACAGTAGTCACCTAACCCTTCCCAGCTAGGCTGGTGGGGCGAGACATGGGCATGTGCAGCTGGCCTCTGTAAGTAGCCAAGCAGGTATCCTGAGCAGGCTGGCTTGCTGTCCACAAGGGCCCTGGCTTAGCCAACAACGGAAGGGGCAGCTGGTCAAGCCCATGGTGCACACAAGGATACAGCAGGGGATGTTTAGAGCTGACCTGCCACCAGAAGTCCCCAAGCCAGGACTGTGCCTGGACAGAGAAGGCTGCACACTGCTGGGTGGCATCTACCCGCAACCTCTTCACTCCTGCTGACCAGTGTTCTGAGGCCAGGAAGACTCACTCAGTGCAGCTACGGAGTCAGCCGGCTCTGTTTTCAGGTTGAGGTGAAAAGCACCATGGGTCAGAGGTAGGCCTCATCCCACACGAAAGCCCTCTAGACTAAAACTGTCACTAACTCACGAGCTCCTGGCTGCATGGGGAGTCACCACTGTCCTAGGTAGGGAACACCCACTCCATGCTCAGTCTTGAATGCCAGCTACACAACAAAGGCTGAGAAGCAGCACTTCTTCTGCCAGCTTCTCCGTTATCAGGCCCAGTGGTTCCACTCAAGTCCCCTTCCATCACATGGTGCACCTGTCCCTTAGCAACCCTGGGTGGGATGGTACCTAGCAAGCCACCAGCTCAAGGGCCTGCCCAGCCCCAGCCCCAGGGACTTTCTGAGGCTGCATCTTCCTACAACTCCGAAGACACAATCCACTGGACCTGGAAGTGGGGCCAAGGCAACAGCCACATTGCCTAGTAACACTGTCCCACTCCTTGGCTCCTGTCCCACAACCTATAGCTCTGGTCTGTTTCCTGCTGAGTCCCTGCACTGCTTTTCACACAGGCCAGGTCGGGCCTAGCCCACCACAGTGGCCATAGCTCAGAGCACTGCCAGGCCAGGTACTCAGACCCCCACTGCCTTGGTGGAGGACAAAGCAGCAGACCCCAAAGCCAGAGTTCTGGGCTCGGTAGGGAAAGAGAAAGCCTTGATCCCTAAGTCCCACAATTCTGGATACTACCAGTGTGGGTTAGTTAGTAAGCCTTGGCCAAAACAGTGGGAAGGAACCTCTTGGCTGTGCTTCTGCCCTGGTTTATAAGACAGAAAGAACCCTGTTCTCAACCCAACTTGATAAAGGAAAGCTTGTTGGGTGTGGCAGCCCACATCTGTAATCCCAGAATTGTTGAAGGCTGAGGCATGGATCTGAGGCAGAAGAATAAATTAGAGAGCAGTTTGGGCAACTTATCTAGACCCTGTCCCAAAATTAAAAAAAAAAAAAAAAAAAAAAATTAAAAGGACTGGGGATGTAGCTCAGTACAAAGGCCCTGGATACAAATCCCCAGTACCAGGGGAGAAAATGAAAAAGCAAACTAAACAATTCCCCAGGCCCAGGGCGCCTCTCAATCCTCTTCTGGGTGATGCATACATTGTTCCCAATCACTCAGGCCGCTCCAGTATCCACCATGCCATGCTAAGGGCAAGGCCTGTCCTCCAAGAGTGGACACGGCTACCCAATTCTCTGGGGAGTGGCAATAGCCTTGAGGCTGCCAGGTCTAGGGCCTCTGACTGCCTGCCACCATGTTTGCTGTTAAGCTCAACCCACAAAACAAGGGCAACAACCCAATGCACAAAACCAAAGACATCCAGACCATCACACAGTGCTCCACCACAGCCATCTGGGTCTTCCAGGTCAGGGCAGGAACGGATAGTTGGAAGGAAGAAGTCCAATATGGAAGCACAGACTTTGGAGGAGTCTACTCTACTATCCTGCAAAGGGACAAGTAACACAACATCATGGCAATCGTGAGGAGGAAAAGAGAAGCCCCACCGGGTTTCTGACCACTGTCAAAAACGAAGTCTGATAGGACACAGGGCACTTCCTCACTTTGCGGTCCATGTCCAGCACACCTGTGCCCCCTCTCACTGGGCAGCTTGTAGTTCCCATTTGTTATTCTGTGGCCCATATGAACTAATTCTGTAGCTCTTACAAACAAGTTAGAAACAGGGTTTTCTACTTAGAAAAATCTTAAAGTACCTTAATCATGATACAAATCAGATACAAAATGTCAAAAACCAATAGGAGACTGCCCACGGCTGCGCTGTATCACGCTTGCCTGACTCCAGTTCCTGGCCGCAGGGCGGACACTCTTCCTGCTCCAGGCCGGAGCTGCGGGTCACAGGGGGTAGGAAGCGGTGAGGGGTGGGAGGGCGGCAGGGCATCGGGGAGACATGCGGAGGGATACAGAGGAGCCGGTCGGGGGAACACAAGGCTGAGGGGCCGAGCTCTGAGAACACAGAAGGGCGGGGGCCCCGGGGTCTGGGAATACGCACAACTGGAAGGCCCGGCCCAGGCCTGGATGAAAGCACTCAGCAGAGGGAGGGACTCTGCCCCGCCAACAAAGCGTCTCACAGATGCTTTGGAGGAACAAGAAAACACCAACAGCGGAGCCCTCCGCATACGGCACTGCGGGTCCTCACCGCCGGCCGACTCGACCCGGCACGCCCGGGGGGGGGTGTTGCTGGGTGCGCAC